CCTGCTTCTCTGCTACCTCCCCCATTTTTTTTTCTCTAAAGTTTTATCTAATTCAAAGAATATTGTTACAGAAAAAGCCTTTCACTAGCCAGGACAGTCTAGCATATAAAAGCTTTCAGAAGTCACGGAACACACATTTCCTTTAAGAGCTAGTTCTGAAGGAGGCTCTGATTGTGGTATACATGTGTATAAGTGCTTTGAGTTCAGACACATTATCCTCCAACACTCACAGAAGCTTGGAAATGCCTAGATTTTGAAACTGCTGCTGTCCCATTGCCTTGACCCTGGGAATCTCTCTAAAAATCTTCTTTGTAAGGGAAGAAAATCTAAGGTGGATAAAATACGTCTCCCGGGAGAAATGTTAACTTAGGGAAATAAACTGGGGCCAGGCAGCCCAGCCTTGTGAGTAAAGGTACTGGGCAGTATGGCTTCTACCCTTCCCATCTAACATGGTCGACTTAGACAGTCCTCAACGTCTCTGAGCCTTGCCTGCTCCCTTAGTCTGTCAGGTGGGATCTGAGGTGATGAACAGATTCACACTTAAACCATAACAACAGGATAATATCTATTTAGGAGGAGGAACACACTTTGGAAGAGGATGTGAAAATGAACTCTCATATGTGTCACTATGGGCTTCACTGCTGTAAAGAATATTCAGGACTGAGGAGGAGCAAGGTCTTCACTGCTAAGTGTAGGGCAGTTCCTGTGCTGACTGTGAGTTCTAACTTCACAGGGGGAGGAAAGAGGAGCCCAGGCAGCAGTCAGGAAGGAAGTGATATGATGGCAGCCTCATTTTTATCTGCACCCAGGCTGCCATGTTGGGCTCACCTCTGACTGCTGGCAGGGATGGAAGCTCAGCGCTGGCGACCTTGGCTTTCTTGCTTCATGTTAGGAACAGCTCAGTATTGATTTAATGGGATGTAGGGTTTTCCTCCAGGTGTGGAGGAGTAACCATCTTTCTCGTTTAGAGACACGGGGAACTGTAGAATGTAATTCCACACAAGGGGGCTTTTGCACACACTGAGGCTACCCCCCCATGCCCTCAGAACCCCATCTCAACTGGACTCCCACACACAAGTGTGTTATAATCGTGTTGGAAAAGAAATACTGGAGAGTGATGAGGGAATCTTTTTAGGAAGTGTGGTATCACCTCTTCCCTGTGAGGGAAGTGTGTTGTTCTTCCTCAGCAGCCAAGCAGGGTTCACAACGGTTCACTTCACACAACAGATGTGAGTTCAGCTTTGGCTCTAGAATGTGATGAGATGGCGTCTTCCCCCTTCAGTGAGAGCAGACTTGTAGGCCTAGCGGCTCTAACAAGTGTGAAATGTTGCCTCAGAGACTGCAACACTAACTTGGGAAAGTTGAAACCTCCTTCCCAAGGTGATAATGGTTGCTTTTAAATGGAGTGTAGATGATAAGATTGAATATGATTTGTGTGTCATGAAATTGTTCTGTGTGGTTTTTATGAAACCATTCAGGACCTTGCTGAATGTGGTCAATGCATTTTTATAAAAGATTTTTATTTTTAATTATATATATGTGTGCGTGTGTGTGTGTGTGTTTATGTGTATGTGCACAATGGTGCAGTGTGTGTTGAGACCAGAGAAGGTGTCAGATCCTTTGGAGCTATAGTTACAGGTAGGTGTGAGTCACAAGATGTGAGTGCTGGGAACAAAATTTGGGTCCTCTGCAAGGACAATAAACACTTAAAATCTCTGAGCCACATCTCCAACCCCTGAACAATTCTATTCTTAAGTTTTTTTCATCTTTGGTTAGAACGTGAAAACAACGTGGACATGTGAAAAAGAGAAGGCGGTGAGGACTTAACAGGTTGAAATACAACTTCAGACCTTAACTCCTGAAGTTAAGAGAGTAGAGTGTGGACTTTCCCTGTTTCAGAATTGTAATTTCTTATGGTGACTTTGCAAGCCCCCCGCTTTTTTCTTATCAGTTCTCCGAAACCCTACAAAGAGGGAGAACCTGTTTTTGCTGTTCCCTGTTCTGCAGAAGACCAGCTGGCAGTGACCTGTTGGTAGTGTACCAACGTGGTATACATTATTGTCAGCAGAGCAGGCTGAGGAAGTAAAAGTGCTTTTGTGCTTCTTTCATCAGGGACCTACTGTGTACACCAGGAAATAGGTCAGGACATGGGGAGTCACTGTCATCAGCATGTCTTCTTTGCCTTCTAGAAGGTTCTGATGCAGTGGAGGAGGCACACTACCTTGGTTATATTATGGGATGATTCTCCAGAGAAACAAATGACATAGAAACAACTTTCTAATATTTAAAACGTGTGTGTGTGTGTGGTGTATGTCTGTGTGCAGACATTTGTGTATGTTAATGTAGGTGCACGCATGCCATGATAAGCGTGTGGAGTTTGGGGAACAGTGTTGGGTGTTGGTCTTCAACCTCTGCCTTGTCTGAGATGGGATGCAATGCCCACTGCTGTGTAGTCAAAGTTAGCTGGCCAGGAAGTTTCCCAGGATTCGTCTGTCTCTGTCTCCGATCTTGCCACAGGTACTCTACTGCATCCAGCTTTCTGTGGGTTCTGGGGGAGGGGAGGGTCTAACCTCAGGTTCTTATGCTTGTACAGCAAGTGTTTTACCCACTGAGTTGTCCCTCTTGCCTTGGAAGCAGAATTCTAGTGTGTGTCTCGGTGAGATGATTAGGGGTGATAAACTCCTTGTGTGATTCTGGAGGCTGAGAAGTCACCAAGTGGAGGCCTGTGGAAATTATGGTGTGCTCCAGTGGGAGTCTGAAGATCTGAGGACCTTCAGAAGCTGATCCTGGGAATTCCAGACCAACCGTGGCGCAGGAGAAAACAGGATGAGATAATGAAGTAGATACAAGTGGGAGAGATTCTTTCCTGTGTGCTTTTTCTGTTGAGGCTCAGTAGGTCAGTTGGAGCCTTCGTAGGGAGGTCAGTCTAGTGAGTTCACTGACTCAAACGCAAGTCTCGTCGGGAAACGGCTTCACACTCAGCCTGGGATTTATGTGGTGTGTGGGCATTTGTGGCCCCCATCAAGTTGTTGCATAAAATTAACCATCCTGTGGTACAGGCACCTGAGGTCAGAGTAGGGAGGAGGGGTAACCTCAGAGCATGTGGGTAGAGGAAAGCCTGGACCGTGGGGAGCTGACCAGAGACAAGCAGAAGCTCTTCCTGTAGACAAGAGGCTGAGCTAGGAGTGTGGGTCAAGCTTGTCATCCTAGTGTTCAGGATGCTGAGGCTGGAGGACTGTGGGTTGGAGGCTAGCCTGGGATGTGTGGCATGATCCCCTCTTACGAAACGAAGCGAAATCAACAACAGACACTAATGGATGAGTAGGAGAAATCAACCATGGGAAGGCAGGGAGAGGAAATGACCAGCAGATTGAGGACGCAGCGAGGACTGCAGGGCCCTGTTTGGTGGCCTTAGGAGATGCCGGGGGTAGTAGTCAGGTGGCCAGAAACCTCTATAACATTAGAAGATACTATGACCCACCTCTGCAGCAGTGGGGCAGGGTGGAGGAGAAATACTCGGTTCCCCCTGTAGGAAGGTACACGTGGCAGCAGTGCGGACGATGGACAAGTTAGGTGGGGAAGTACTTTCTGCTTACTTTTTACCTCAACTGTGTATTTCTAGGTTCTTAAAAGAAGTCTGAAGCCTGGGCTGGAACACTGGTGGTCGGTGGAGGGGTTAGGGTCTGCAGGCAGTGGCCCTTGCCTCGGTTCTCCGAGTCTGAGTTTGGCAGCGTTCGCACACATGCCCTATAGTACCCCTCCCTCATTTCCAGCTAGAGCAGAGGTTCTCAGTCTGTGGGTCAAGATCCCTTTGGGGTCACATATGAGATATTCCACATATCAGTTATTTACGTTATGATTCATAGCAGCAGCAAAGCTACGGTTATGGAGTAGCGATGAAGTAGTTTTATGGTTGGGGTCACCGCAACATGAGGAACTGTCTTAAAAGGTCACAGCATTAGGAAGGTTGAGAAGCCCTGGACTAGAGGATTGTAGTCAACGTTTGTAGGTGGCTTTTTAGGTGAAACTAATTGTAGCGTACTCACTCCTTTTCTATTTTCATTTATTTATTTCTAAGGATTGATTTTAAAATTACATTTGTTTATTTATTGTATATACGTGTGGGTGCATGAGCGTACCGCAGCTCATATGTGGAGGTCAGAGGATAGCATGCAGAAGTTTCTCTCTCCTTCCATCATGTGGATCCTGAGTATTTTGCCTACATGTATGTATGGGTACCATGTATGTGCCTGGTGCCTGTGGAGGCCAGATGAGTCACAGAGGACTGTGAGCTGCCACGTGGGTGTTGGGAACTGAGCCCATGTCCTCTGCAAGAGCAGTCAGTGCTCTTAACTGCTGAGTCATCACTCTACCCCTTTTAAAGGAGAATTACTTTGTTAGTCAAGTTTTAAGAAATGTAATTCCCACAAAAAAGAGATAAATCTACCCCTTTACGAAAGATGCATTTAGAATGGGACTATTCTGGGTAGTTGTGAAGACACAATGGGCTCAATTGTGTTTTCCTCACATCCCAATTCAAGTCCTAACCTGGTATCTGAGAAGGTGACTACTTCCAGATAGGGTTTATAGAGAGGGAATTAAGGTCAGACTAGGTCATTCAGTGGGGCCCAGTCAACTGGGACTGCTCTCTGCACGAGGAAGGAATCCTGAGGGTACCCGCACACACAGAAAGGGCCATCTGTGAGCCAGGCAGGGCCCTTCAGCCTCGCTGACACCCAGTCTCCTACGGGAAGCCTCTAGGATTTCCTGTGGTTTAGCTCACTTAGTCTGTGGCGTTTTGTTAAAAGAGCTCTAGCGAAGTCTTCCAGGGGGTCACTACCGGAGTTGTAGGCATGTGCACCCCCTTTCTCACCCTCTCACCTTGACGCTTTCATCTGAGTGCATGGCTGGTCATGGCAGCCCAGGCTCCAGGTGTCCGGGGACGGATGTCCAGGTGCAGCGCCAGATGGGCCTGCCAGGTTCCACAGATGCCTCCCTCTCTGAGAAGGATCAGTTAGACAATATGAGTGGCAGGAAAACTCTGTTGACCCGGATGTGGGGTTGTTCTTTACTGAGATTGTGGTTGTGTGTCAGCCAGAGGGACAGATTGCGATGCACTGAAGGACTAGGAGACCCAGGGAAGTGTTCAACCTGGTCACAGGTCAAGGTGTTGGCTCCTCGACTTTCCTCTCTGTCCTTCTTTCAGCGTGGGGCCTGGATTTTGGTACGGGCCTGCAACTGGCTTCCAGACAGAGAATGGGGTGTTTAGTTTCTTTCCAGGGCAGCTAGAGCGCTTTAGATTGAGGCTCATGTGGTAGGCCAGGGTGTGGAAAAGGCTTTCCATGGAGTGTTACAGTTTAGCCCTTTTAGCATGAGATGGCCTGTGGCAGTGGAAGCTTGGATGTTCTAAAGCCTATAGCGATACCACAGCAGCTCTTGATTAAGCTGCAGTGCTGAGCACGGCAGAGGTGCAGGCAGAAGCCCATGCCTGGTTGGCTTGCAGCCAAGATCCAGGTCCAGTGAGGCCCAGGTCCATCGGGCGGGAGGACTGGTGAGATGTAGATGGTGGAGAATGAATGACGAATCTTGGGCAGACATGGTAGAAGGCTGATGGTATCATGCAGCATGCAACCCCAGCACGTTTATTTGAAATCAGGGATTGATAAACCCTTTGGGCAGTGGGAGGGATTTCAAAGGTGAATGTGTTTGATTCTCTGGGGTCAGGGGGTCAGGGACACTTGATTTGCATGTAGTGGTACAGTGCCTCATTTTCTCTGCAGTAGCATGGTCCTGTCACAAGAAGGAGAACACAGTTACTTAATCCTATGGGTGAGGGGAAAATCTCCAAATACAATGAAGGTCTCTGCTGGACTAAGATCCTTTGCAGGGTGGAACACATCTAGGAATTTCCAGATGCTCGCTGGAGTGGTTTTCTTATCAGGAAAGGGTTTGGCCTATAATCTGCCCCAAGGGCTTTGTAATGCACCTTACAAGACCTGGGCTCACCCAGATCAGGGAGACTTTTAGAACCCCGCTAAGAAAATGGAGTCTGTCATAATAGACTGAGGGCAAATAAACGGCCATCTGGAGATGTCAGACTTCAACCTTATCCAGTAGAGCCCCACACCTCTCAACTTCAACTCCCATTGTCTCATGTTGGATCACTTCCCATAGATTTGAGCTTTGTTCACCATAGAGATGTTACTCAGTGAGAATGGATTCATTTTAACATTCAAAAGTTAAAGGACACGAGTGTCACCTTTCTTTTTCCACCAAGGTATCTATCTGTTCTTTAAAACAGAAATTGGATCGTGAATGTTCATGTGTGTGCGTGTATGGGTATAATGAACATGTGTGAGCAGGTGCATGTATGTGCAGGCGCACATTGTCAGAGGTCAGAGGTTAACCTTGGATGCCGTTCCTCAGGACTGTGTTTGTTGAGGAAGCATCCCTGCTTAGCTTGTGTCTCTCTGATGTGGCAAGGCTGGCTGGTCTCAGTGAGCCCCAGGGGTCCTTCTATTTCCACCTCCCCGGCACTGGGATTACAAGTGTGCAGCATCACATTGGGCTTTCTGATTGGTTGATGGAGATTGAATTCGGGTCCTCGTGTGTATGCAATGAGCATTTTACTGACCGAATGATCTCCCCAGAGCCAGATGTCTATTTTTATGGAACTGCTGACTTCTCAGAACCTCAGTTTCTGGGTTTAGTAATTATTGCTTTCATCATACAGGTGTTGAAAGAAAATGAGATCCTTTGTCAGTAGCTTTTTTCATGTTATCTGACACAGCAGATACCTGATAAATGTTTGCTCCAACTATTAGTTAAGCATCTTATTTAGTGGTACCTTAGGAATCATAGTAATTAAAAACTATACTTTGACTTCTAGGAGCTCTGGACAACTTAACTACACTTAAGTTCCTGTCAGAAACACAGTCAATTTGACATACCCAGTTCATCTTTAAAATGCAAGGTTGTTATGGCTCTGAAACGGTGGCGGAATATGAAAACATGCTGTGGACGCAGGCTAGCACACCTGTCTAGCACTCCATGCACTCTCATGACATTCTCTTAACTCTGTGCCTCAGCTTTCTCGTTGGTAAGGGCTTGTTCTGAAGCTTAAGAGTGCTTCTTGGAACTTCACTTGGCTGTGGACTGTGACTGTTCGCGTGGTTGTCTTCTGATTTGGCTCGGCAGACTCTAATGGCTGATGAGAGGAAAAGGACCTTCCAGATGGCGTTCTGAAGGGCAACGAGGGCAGCCTCACAGTGCAGTGGGCTCGCTGATTGCCAGGTGTCTGGAGAGCTGCATGCCTCTCTTCCTCTCATGAGGAGCGAACCCCTTTCAAAGCTTTAGGGCCACGTTCAGGGCTAGAAAGCTAGGCGTCGGTTTAACACACTGTGTGTGCATACACATATATTAATGCTTAGCAAGATGCTGTGGCCCAAGGGTGGTGTGGTGTACGGAGGGCATGGAAGTGAAATGAAGGATTAATATCCTCAGAGGTGCATCTTAATGCAGTTTGCAAAAATGCAAGCAAACAGCAAGCACCATCATTTTTTTTTTTAAGTTGCATGTAGGTCATGGAGGAAAGTAGAGGAAGCTTACCTTGACTCCAGGCAAAGGAGTATGGTAAGGAAGAATGAGGTTATTTTGAGTACCAATTCAGTGCCAAGCACCCAGGCTGCATTTTACAAAGATTCTCATTCACTGCAAGGGTGGTGGAAGATACTGAGTTGGTCAAGGCAAAGGACCTTTCTCTTTGTCTTGAGAAAGGGAACAGCTGAAAGCCAGGAAAAGAAGGGACAGGTTTGGAAAGAGCTTATGATTTTGTAGAATTTTCAGCAGAGAGTACCATACTCTTGTGTCGAGAAGCAGGGGGCAGAGAATGGAATTTCACAGTCTAAAATGGTGTTCTTAGTATTAATCCCAGCTGACACCCTGGACTGACAATCAAATGCACACTCCATTAGAAAGAATGAAGCAATAAATCACCAGAGACCTCAGTAAGTCCCCATAGACAGGCATGATGGGTGACCTTGTGGGGCTTGTAAATTACATCACATTGTTGGAGAGATGGAAGGAATATTGTCCATATGGAAGCTATAGATCCAGACAAAGTATAGCTGATAGTCTCTCTTGGTATCCTTGGGGAAATTAAGCTGTGAGATTCAAGAACAAACATCAGGGTGATGACTCACGGGTGTGGAGACAAAATTAGCTCCATCGCTGTTCCCTCTAGTTATGGGTGGGGACCCTGAGAGTTGAGCTCACCCTAGAGAGCTTGTTGTACTCCTTTTGAGATCAAAATTGTCATCTGTGCTTCAAATGGGGATTCAGAGGACAGGGTTATCAAATTGCTGGGAAATTCAAAGCTAGTTAAATGTTAGGTGGGAGACATTGGTTCTGAAGGTCAAGGCCAGGGATGATGCTGGTGGTGGTCATGATGATGATGATGGGAGCAGACTTTATAGATGAGAGGGAGGGAATCTCAAGGACAGGGTCACATGAAAAAAAAATTAGTTCCCAAGTCAGGAAAAGTCTTAACAGAATGATGGCATTTTCTTTTCAAAAGGCAAAAGTGAGAAGAGGACTTAACACAAAAATGATGGTGGATAAAGGCTAACTGAGGACTCAGCCAGAGGATATCATAATCTTACTGAAAGATGCTAGTGAGACAGATACAGTGCTTGCCTTGCAAGCATGAGGACACAAACCTGATCCCTGGGACCACTTAGAAAGGTACGGGTTTGGTGGTGCACACTTACGGTTCAGACACCGGGGAGAAAAACACTGATCCCTGCGGCTCACTGACCAGCCAGCATCACTTACTTGGCAGGATCCAAGTGAGAGATCTTGTTTCAAAAAAAAAAAAAAAAAAAAAAAGGTGGGAAAGATCCTGAGGAATATTATCCAAGCTTGTTCTCTGGCCTCAGCATGCACGCACACACATGTGCACGCACACTCATATGCACACATAACCCCACATATGCTCATGCAGCCTGATTTTCCTTGGGTCCTGAAGAAGTGTGTGTGTGTGTGTGTGTGTGGGAGAGAGAGAGAGAGAGAGAGAGAGAGAGAGAGAGAGAG